TTGAGTCCCCTTCAATAATCAACCTGTTAATCCCCAACTCTTTAGCTTTCTCAACACCAAACACTGCTGCCTTCAATTCTGAATTCACCACATCAGCATACTGGGTAGGGCTGGAGAACATGCAATGATGTTTCCATTCTCCTCCCTTATTACCCCACCAATGCCCAATGGGCCAGGTTTCCCAAACAGCTCCCATCAAAGTTTAGTTTCTTCCACCCGACATCTGGAGGGGACCACAATTCAGTTACAATAGATCTTCTAGAAGCCAAATATGTGATTGTTCCCCATGATCTGAAGAAATCTTCTGTCTTAAAATCTGCAAATATTTTCAGAGTTTTCACCCAATGGGCCACCCTTATAATTATCACTTCAATCACAGCATCTCTGCCTCTTTCCTTATCATCAAATATCCTCTCAGATCATGTTATGATACTATCTCTTGTATTCTGCATAGTACTGGTAGCAATTGGGGAATATGTTGATTCGAGTAAAACTTCATGTTGCTACCCATGGAAGTGGAGATGGAAATATGTTGTTGAAGCTATCTCTTGTACTCCACAGTGTTTGTAGTGCTCATTGGGGAATATGTGAACTCCAGTAAAATTTTGTATTGCTACCCACGAAAATGGAAATATGTCATGGAAATATTAAGGAAATTGAAGACATTTTAAACCAAGCCACTAACTCGTCTCCCTCACAAAACAAAATAGTATCATCTATAAACTGAAGATGGGTAATTGGTGCATTGTCTCTTCCCACTCACCAGCCCCTTACTAGGCACCTTGAATCAGCTATTAGGATAAGTCTACTTAAAACATTAGCAATAAGTTTGAATAGAGAGGGGGCCACCATGTCTTATTCCTTGCCTAGTAGAGAAAAAACCCACCATCTTGCCATTAATTATCATCGCATAACGATAGGTTCTCAAATAGCCCCAAATCCATTTACACCACCTTTCTCCAAACCCACACTGCCTCAAGACCTCAATTAAGAAATGTCAATCAACCAAATCATAAGCTTTCTTCATATCCAACTTGCAAATTACACCCTTTTTTCCAAATCGTTTCATTTACTCAACACATTGATTAGCAATCAAGATTTGATTAGTAATTTGTCTGTCTTTCACAAAGGCCCCTTGATTTGAGGAAACAATGAGAAGGAGAACTCTCTGAATTCTTAGAAATAGGACCTTAGCAATT